TGTGGTGTGTTGGCTGCTACGGCTTTAGAGTTGGCAGAACAGGTGAGGCCTGTTTTTCTCTTTGTTTTGTGAGTTTGGCAGGTAATTCACAAAGCCTGGGGTTTCCACTCCCAGAGAAGAAGCAGCCACCATTGACAAAATTTATATTCTCAGTGAAGAAGCAGTACCATCCAGTCCTTCACAGGGACAGTGTGATGGATGTACATAAATGTCTAATAACTGTAGAGCACTATATTGTCATTGCTGGGGTATATTTTATTTCTGTTATAAAAACCATTTTGATGAGAAACAAGTCTGTTGCTCAAAAATACATTATTAAATTAAGTCTGCCAATGGAGCTGTGTCAATTCCGTGAGCATTAGCACAAAAGAGGACACAAGTTCCTTTAAAAGTGTTAATTTCATCAGGAAATAACAGCCACGATGTGCGGTTCTGGGGACTTGTTTTTTGTTTTGTTTTGTTTTTCACTGAAGGCTTTAAGTATGAATCAGTTGAGTTCCAGAGCTGCTGATGCCTCACCCACAGCAGGATTTGATGGGATCGTGGCATGTTTGTTACTGTGAGGTTTGTTGACATTGCTACAGTGCCTTTTAACATTTCAGTTAAGCCTGGTACTCTAAGCACTTGTTTTTCTGAGAGTGCATATAGGTGTTGTTTCATTCTTCTGCCTTTTATGTACCCACATATAAAGTCAGAAAATTAAAGATATAGAGACACAGGGGTTTTAAAATGGCCATTTTCAGAGTTACAGAAGCCAGCTTTTACCTCCTGAATGGAGAAAGATGTTTCCCTATGTATTATTCCATAGCAAAGTGTTGTGCCATGTATTTTTGGCAGCTTGTATTGGTGGCAACATTTAAGGAAGGAATACAGGATGATCCAGAAAGTTCCTTACCCTGAACAGCAAGGATGAGGTTAAGTTTATGGTGCTGTTTTGAAATGTCTGGTTGCTTTAACAAGCCATATGGCTGCTACAGATGTCAGAGACCTTTTTAATTCTTCTGCCAAAGGTTTTTTTTTTCTAGCAACCATAGTCCTGCACCAAAGCAGAAGTATTTGTGGAACCTGAATCCCAATCTTCATGATGCAGGAATAGAAGAGGATATCACATGGATGTTACATTTAACTGTCAGTCAGATCACTAAGAGAGGAGAGGCACGATTCACTCCTGGATGTAGTCATCCTTGCCAGCTCTCTCCAGACCTTCACATTCACCTTGAGACAAGAAAGCTTTACTGATGTCTCACTCATTTATTACCTCTTCTGGGCACTGAAAGAATCCAAACCCCATTAGGGCAAATAATACAGGAATATAGGATTGCAAGATGAAGTGTGAGTGGTAATTGCAGTATTGTTTAAATCTGGCATAGTTAAATCAATACAGAACCCTAGGTGGGAATCATTATGTTTGTTAGAATCTAATCTTTTAGGATTTGGAAGAACAAATGTTTGAGTGAACTCTAATTAATATAGGCCTTTTTCTTCATATATCCAAGGCATGTATCTTACTAAATTCCTTTATACATATGGATACAGGCAGTTCTCCAGTATTTTAGTTCTTGTCCCTCTTGTCTTTTCTTGTATTAGTGCAAATACCTGTTCATAACAGTTTCAATTCAGCAGAGCTGGAATCCTGGGCTCCCAGGTCCATAGACCAGGACCTTATGCAGTGAAAATAATTGAAAGTAGAAGTAATTATTGTCTTTCATATAGGGCAGTCATAAGAAGGAGAATTTGACTCCTCCAATTGTACAGATGATACTGAACAACAATGGAATTCCAGGAATTGGACTTCTGGGCTGTGGAGAGGCATAGATCCCCATGGTTGCAGACACAGAGCAGTCCCCTAACTTTGACATCTTTGTTCCAGAAGGCATGTGGTTAAGTGGCCTTCACATTGTCATGTTAGAGTCAGGATTTTGTTTCCAGTCTAGACACAGATGACCTTGTAAAATCTCAGGCTGTTACAGATATGAAACAAAGAAATTCTGTTTACCTACTACATAAGGCAGGTGAACAAACCTTTGGTCAGTTAAAAGAAATCTTCTGAAATATGAAATATTATGACTTATAAAAAACAATTGAAAGCTGAGCTTGAAATCTGCATTCCCTGACTCCTTGTTGTGTTGTCTTCCCAATGATATTTTAGTTCTGCACTGTGTATATTTTATCTTGAGCTTTGGGGAGGAGTATCCAAGAAGGAAAGTCATCGGAATTTGGAAAAACAGTAAATATGTTCATTAACCATTCTTAGGGACAGAGATGTATCATATCATGTAAATAAAGGAAAAGTAGAACTTAAAATATGTTCAGTGAAAATAGAAGGCTAGAGACTTTAGGAGCAAACAATAATAAACTGTATGTAAACAGATATTTCTGAAGGTTTAGTTCTCAGCCACAGGTGCATGTCTCTCTGCAGGGATGACAAAAATAATTTCTGACATCAAGATTCTGTCCCTGCTAAATTTCAAATTCCTGTTCCAAAACACGGAGCATAAACATCCCACAAAAATATCAGGAAAAAAAATTGGCAATCATTAACAACTGTTTTCACCTCAATTCTTATTCAAATCCAGTGAGACGTGAAGCATTTTAGAAGCTTGAAAATTTGCAACTTTAACTGTTAAGATTTAGCACATTATAGAAATTAAAACAAAGGTCAGCATTTAAAGTATTTAGGCAGCCTTAACTGTGGCTGCTTAATGTGGCTGCTGTGTTGTCCTCCTGGAGAACTTCTGAGTCCAGCTCCATGTGGTGTGGTATCAGAAGTCGGGTGTTAAACGTAAATATGTCCCTGGACACCAAGGACTGTGTCTGTCCTCTCTGAGTTTCTTGGAGATGTTTGTCAAGGACTGTAGATCACTGGCTGGAAGCCCGAAGGACTGAGAGGTAGAGCTCCCATGATCTCTTGAGCGGTATTCCAGAAACTTTCTCCTTTTCCTTTGAAAAGCATTGTTTTCAAGTGATTGTCTTCCAGCATTAAAAGATACATTGGTGAAAGTGAAAGGTGGGATTGTTGACACTTATGATTTTACCTCTTTAGTTCTGTATTTTTCCCTGTTTTATTGACCTATATTTAATATAAAATTTTGGTAGTGTTTAAAAAAATTAATGAGTCCTTCATAGAATAGGCTGAAAGGGACCTGAAAGGTTGTCTAGTCCCAACTGCCCTGCCATGAGTAGGGACACTTTCCACTAGACCAGGTTGCTCAGGGCCCCATTCAACCTGACCTTGGCAAATGGGTGATTTCAGCATGTACCTGTGGTATGAGATACATGGGGTTATGTCTATTTAGGTGCACATTCTCCATGTTTCCTGAGAAATATCTGTGTAAAGACAATGAAATAGTTACATACAGCTGGTTATACCCAGCATGCCTTGCTGAGGCCATTACTCATCATGAACTGACATGAACATTTTGAAAATGAGAAACCAGTAACCTTGAGCTCCTGGGGAAACACCTGACAGTACACTGCAGATGCGCCTTCTTGTGTCTCTGGGTCTCCCCAGTCATTACCCGGTGATGACCCTCTTGTTACTGGGCAGCTGTGGGAATGGAGAACCTTGTAGATGAAGCCATCAGTGTTTTCTAAGCACCTTTTTCTCATGTGCAGGCATGGATGTCCTAAGGTTTGTTTCAGTGAGGGGAGGGAGAACAGTAGCAGAGTGGGAATAAACATCTCATGTTCCTGCCTGCTCTCACATTTTTCTATTATAGAAATCAGAATGAGATATTTTCATGAATTCTTACTGTGGTGAGACCCTCAGCTGATACACAGGTCCTTATGTTTCATTTGTCTGATTAGAACTGTGGGTACTTTATGGGTCCTTATCTGACCTAGAGTTACTGTTGTGAGACATTTAGAGAACTGTATGTTGAAAAGAACTTTTTTTAGAAACTTGACCTCAACAAATGGTTTAGGTTGGATATTAGGAAAAGGTTCTTTACCCAGAGGGTGGTTGGGCACTGGAACAGGCTCCCCAGGGAAGTGGTTGCAGCACCAAGCCTGATAGAGTTCAAGAAGTGTTTGGATGGAGCCCTCAGGCACATGGTGTGACTCTGGGAGGGTCCTGCAGTGGGCCAGGAGTTGGACTCAATGATCTTTATGGGTCCCTTCCAACCCAGCATATTCTGTGATTCTCTGAAACCACGGAAGGACCAATGATGTGGCCTTTCCCTGGGACACAGGTAGCTGTCTTAGGCTTAAGGCTGCAGTGCTGTACACAGGGCAGCCTTGGGGCTATCCTCATGTAGAAAAATGTGAATCAGTAATACTTACATCAAGTGGGTCTGATCTTTCACTCCTTTTAGCTTACAAATTAATTTATATCTACACAGACTGTTCAAAATACTGTTACTGAGGGACTAGCCACTCCAGCAGTTATTTCCACCAAACAATAGCATTACAACATTATTAAATAGCTCTTGAGTATGAATTCATCCAAGAAGTAGGTTATTAGAATAAAGTCTATTTTATTAGTGCCTTAGGATGCTCAGCCAAAACCTAGAGCCCTTGAGCACTATTCAGACTCATAACATGAAACAATCTCTACCTCAGAAATTTATAATCAAATTAGACAAAGCAGACAAATAAGGGCAAAGAGAGAAATTGAGGCAGGAAGGGACAAAATGGGTTCTGTGCTACCATTTAGCTGGGAAGTGTGTAGCTAGGCAATAGCACAGATAGTTTCTTTTAAAAAGTAAAAATGAAAAGGTACAGCAATGTAGATGAGAATTTATTAACAACAAAGCCCAGAATCTGCACCTCCGGAAAGAAAGGGAAAATAATTTATCCGCCCACACTCACTTTTTTCTGACGAAGGCAGGTGAATAAAGCTGCACTAATCGAGTGTGACGCTCACAATCCTGAGCTGCACTTACTGATGCGGAACTGAGAGGTAACCATCGTCTCCAGGAAAACAATAGCCCTCGCAGCCCCCGCGGTGCCTGCAGGGTCACACACTATTCATCCCCTGCACATGTCATTCTCACGTGAAGGTTGTTCCAGTCCAGCTGTTATGGAGTCAATGGATGAAGCTGAAGGACAGCAAGAAGAGCTGAACAGAAAGGAGCAGTCCCTGAAAACCTCTCAGAAAACAGCAGTGCTTGGTTGGCCGCCCCGATGGAATGGATTAATGCCTGGAGACAGCATGTATCTGTTTGTCCTCTCACAGATACTGGTAAGGCAGTTTGCCATAGCTTTGAAATACTGGGACCCTCCTTCTAAGCTGTGTTGGCTTGGGAGGTCTCCTCCTCATTTGTTGTAGATGTAGCAGTGGACATAGGTGTAGTCCTCTCATTTCTGCAGCCACCTCTTTGCCTTGCGAACAGCCCCTGCGTTTTGATGTCCCAGACTCCCATCCCATTTACTGCCTCACTGCAAATGCCTCCTTTGCCCAATGACTGATCTGATCTCCCACAAAATCCATTTTCTGTAGCTGGTATGTATGGGGGTAAATACCCATCTTGTTATCAAGTGGATCGGGAGGTGTATCCCAGTAAAGTTGTGGTGTGCCCTTCACAGTCGGAGATGAGATTATACCTCTCTGTGAGTACATTAAGTATAGCATCATTGCTTTTGTAGTTTTATGTTACCTCTGGTGTGTGCAGCACCCAAAAGTGGTTCAAATGAAAAGTTCCCATGTGGGTATGTTTGTGTGTGTGTGTCTATTTATAGTGATGTCTATGCGAACGTTGCTTATTTGTGAGAGATTTCAGAGAGGCCTTAATAGTCTTTTAATAACATAGTAATTTCATTGAATTACCAGTTCTGATCTAGAAGAGTTCAGAAGTCAGAGGAATCTGTTGCTCTTTCAGTGTACACCTGGGCAGTCCTTTTTCTAGTGTGGATCAGAGTAAGCCTGCATAACTCAATGATGCATATCTAGTTAATAGTGGCTGAGCATGTAGCCTTCAGTCTTCTTATTCTTGTTAAGCTACAGCCTAGAAAATACCTGACTTTTAAAAGCAAAAATGATGATCAAGATGAAATCAATGCTAACTAAATTAGTTAATTATGCAGTCTTGAAATGAAAATGTATAATGAGAGGTGCTCATTATGTCTTTTCTGATTGATTGCACAGCTTCTCTGCATGATGCTGTGGTACAGCACTTATGGGACCATCCCAGCAGCTCAGAATGCCTTTGACCTGCTCTCGTACTTGCTTACCCCATTTAAACAGGTTTTGTCAGATCAAGGGGAGGTAAGTCCCTGTACTCTCTGATTATGTAGTTGATGTCAGTAGCCTTATGGTGCTTCTAATATCTCTTCTAATATCTCTTCTGATTAAAAGTGTAATACACATGCATTTCATATATCACAGTGATTGCTGCATTGTGTGTCTGTCCTGAGAAGGTTAAAAGAGTTTTCTGAAAACATATCAATATTTTATCTTTGAGATATAGTGCTGAATTTTTGGCTATGATGTTAGGTCAGCACAGCAGATTTTTTTAATGTGCTAATAATTGCAAATGAAACAAGAAATAAGAAGCCAGCCACTAAGGTTTAGTTCACAGTAAAGGGAGAGCTGGAACTTCATTTATTAGGATGAATAGAAGCTTAAATTCTGGAAGAATGGATCAACTCACATAAAAGGTGCAAATCACAACATACTCAGTCACAAAAATCTATTTTTGTTGAGTGTTTAGAACATACCTATGTGCAGTAAATGTATTTCAAGTGTACTAGGTGTACAGGTTCAATTATATCTACAAAGCTATACCAGTAAAACTGCTTGGTTTCTCACCATGACATAATGACACATATACCAGAATGATTCATCTGATAAATTACTGGTAATTATACCCATTGCAGATTTTTCTAGTGTGGACAGAACCTTAATTAAATAGTGAACAGCTACTTTCAAAAATCAGATGAAATATATTTGCTATCAGAATGCTTAGATTCATTGTACATAATCTTTGTAGCAGAGGCTATGCAGTACAAATAAAAAATCTGATTCTGTGCCTCTCGTGACTGAAGTAAAGTGACGACTGTTTTCTGTTTCCTCTTAGCAATGTTTATGAGCTGCATGTCGCCTGCTCTTTTGTGATTTTTTTTCGAAAGAAGCACTTTTTCTTTGCCCTTTTGCTGTTGGATTTATTATGCACAGAGCTCTTCATGGACTACTGCCTGTGTCTTATTTGTAGTGGCTGAATCATTAACAAATTGCTGTTCCTTACAGAAAATCACTGATTTGTGTGATTTTGACTAAAAATAATTGTTCAGCATGGAGGAAACTGATTCCTAGAACACACTACAAGAACATCCCAAGTATGACTGTGCAGATGTTCATGCATATTTTTGAGGACTGTTTATTATAGCACTGTTTATCATGCAAATTTAGACTTGAAAACAGTAAAGGCAAAGAAATCTTCTGTCATTAAAATAAGCAAATGGAAGCTAACTCCACCTTTTTCTTTAGCTGTACTAGTGGGACAGAAACAGAGTAGAGTTCCTTGACTACTGAAGCCCATTAGAACTGAATTTTGCACCTACTACTGAGAATAGGCCAAACTATAAACTACTTAAATATGGCTAAGACACTGGAATTAATTTCACCTCCAGTGGTGTGAATTAACCTGATGGTATTTCACAGAATGTGTATAAAACAGAGAAAAGTCTTCTGTGGCTGGATTTTATGTAAGGACCTCTAAACATGGGAACAGTACTAAACTTTGTTCAAAGCCCTTTGCCAAAGTATAAAATTGCACTGACTACAGCAATGAAGCGTTGGGTCCAGGCTGCAAAACTGAATTGTGGATCCAGATCTCAGTTTTGGCAATGCATGAGGGTAGGAAGCAGAATTCTTTTTTGCCTTCACAGCAAAACCTGGGATTTAGACTTTCTGAGTTGATGGGGCTTGGAGATGGTTTCAGTTTCAGTCTTCTCCAAAGCCTGGCATTTTTTCTGGTGGTGGTGGCTTTTCCACAGGTGAGTATGGTATGGTTAAATATTCATGGGAAATAATACACAGTTTGCCAAGACCATGCATGCAAGACACTATACTGTGTCCCTACATATTTCATGAGTCGTTGTCTATTCTGTTGTTTCACAGAACCTGACTACAATTGGGAGCATTGTGGTATCATACATCCTGCTGTCTTTAGCTTCTCTAGGACTGCTATTTGTAGGATCTTTGGTAAGTTATGATACTATGCCAACTATATTCATGCCCTTTTTCAATAAGTTCTTATAAGATGTTTTACCTGATAAATTTACCTGATAAATTCAGATAATTTACCTGAAGTTGTTGGTGTTACACCCAAGTTGATTGTAAAGCAACATTTTTGGGGCTGTTTCTATATAATTATCTGCTTGCTTTATGTAGAGGAACCACTTAACCTTACTCAGTTGCTTGATTAATTGAGGATCACACTGATGGTTTTTATTCTTTCCATCCACAGATGGGCAAAAAATTTGCACTTAAATAGAAGGGATGTGGTCCAGTAATAGGACCTTAATCCATTGACTTCAGTGGCAGAAAGAGCTGTTCCAGAACATCAGTGTAATACTGAATGTAAAGCACTTGTAGATGTAGGCCAAGACCCCAGCTGCAGAACAAGCTTAGTGGCATGACTACAATTAATCTAGTTAGCTGTCAGATGTTTGGGAACAGGAGGAGAATATCATGTTTCTCCACTGATTGTGTAACTGGCACAAATCTGTATGGTAGATGGGGAAAACTATGAAAAATTCTCTCTTCTTAGGGAGCTCTAATTGAATGTGGCTTTCCATACCCCTGTATGCTATTCTCTTAGAGTGGGAATGCAGTTACTGAAGATACAGGTGGAGCATCACCTCCTGTCCTTACAGAGGTGCACCCTCGGGTAGCTCAGGAAGCTGAAGCTGTACTACTGATATGCTGTTTGAGTGATGCACAGTACAATGACGTACATTATAGAATCATGGGACTGTTGGTGGGAAGGGACCTCTTGATCTTGCTAGTCTAACATCCTGCTTGAAGCAGGGCTGTTGCCAACACTCAATTAGGTGCATATTTCTACACAGGTTTTGAAAACCTTCATGGAAGGAGTTGTACAGCACTTTTGGGGAAGAATTTTTCCCTAGTGTCTGATGTGAATTTCACAAAGTTAAATGTCTGAGCTGAATTTCTGCAGTTTGTGGCCATTGTCCCTTGTGGTATCAGCTGCCACTATGAAAAAGAGCCTCCTCTTTGCCAGGCTGAACAAGCCCAATTCCCTCCACCTTCTTCAAAGGTGCTGTACTCTGTACCCCTGACCTCTTTTGCAACCTTCTACTGGCCCCACTCCAGTTTTTCTATATCTGTCTCAAACTGGAGGACCAAAATTTGTAAACAGCATTCAAGGTGCAGCTGCATCAGTGCCAAGAAAAGGGGAACACCTCCTTTGATTTGCTGGCCACACTCCCTGCTAGAAAGTATGTCATATTATATACCGTGGTTAAGTTCACTCAGAGGCAGCACACTGGCAAAATCTTCCGTTTAATGCGTCAGCTGAATATACTTTCTAAAAACCATTCACAAGACAAAGTAATTATAGTTAATTTCTCCATTATTGTGATCATTGATGCAGGGAAGGAAGTTAGGAGGGTTTATGCAATTTTCTGCTTTTTTGATGCTGCTATTCCTTATTCAGATTGATTTTGTCCTCAAAAATAAACTTCTGATGACTCTGTAATTGCAAATATTAAACTTAAAAAGATGGAGCTATCTAAGAATTCTCGAACTTTATGAGTTCCAGGTAATTTTGCAGCAAAACATTCTGATCTGAAAATCTGAATAGGAGGGGTGTGATTTTCTGCAGATTCAGCTGTTTCTCAGTGGATGGAAACATTTATTGCTGACCCCTTCTTAACATAAAAGGTAACAAAGTGAAAGCTCTGTGTGCCCAAAAATTCTGATCTCAGTTTTAGCTGCTTTGCATTTGAATTCCTTGCAGATGAACGCGAATACTAGTGTAGATGAGAGCAGATTTTGGCTCATTTTTAAGTGTTGGCTAAAACTTTTGTAAAGCAAAAACTTTATAACAGTTTCCATGTAGTCAAGTTTGCACTGGTTTGTGTTCCTGTGGTCTGTGCTAACAGTCTTCTGGCTGGAGTAGAGGCACGAATGTCACACGCTATGTCACCTGGCTCTCTGAATAAGTCACGAGGCAGCAGGGTATAAGAAACGTCCTGTGAGTTCAGACCAATGGTCCATCTTGCCCAGTTTTTTCTCTCTAATGTGGACATTAGGAAGGAGAGTTTGTTTAGAGAGAGCACATGAGCCTTGTCCATTCCTGCTTTACTCTCAGACATCTCAGGTCATGCTGCTTTGCAATTTGCAAACATCTGCTTCTAAGAAGGGAATAAGGTATAAAATCGTCATTGGCAGAACATTGAAAATAATGATTGAACCAGGAAGAGTTTCTATAATCCCAGTGTGGTGAACAACAGATAGTTGCATGAAGATAGTTTTCTTTATCTTTCCCTTTGTTTTCTTTATTTTTCCTATGACTCTCAGCTGAGTCATATCTCTCTCCTTCTCTCTCCTTCCTCCTTTAAAATGGATTTTAAGCAATATGCTGCCTAGAAGGCACCTTGGAGGGGTCTTTTACTTTGAGGAGTGCCTTTATAATCAAATCTTTTTTTCCCAAATGTACCCTTCTCTCTTTATAGATGGACCTGATACGCCAGTCCCACTCTGGTATACATGGAATTATAGAATGGTTTGGGTTGTAAACGACCTCAAGGACCATCTTGTTCCAACTCCCCAACCATGGGAAGGGACATCTTCCACAGGACCAGGTTGCTCGGAGCCTCATCCAACCTGATCTTGAACATTTCCAGGGATGGTGCATCCACACCTTCTCTGGGCAACCTGTTTCAATGCCTCGCCACCCTCATAGTAAAGAATTTCTTCCTAATATCTGATCTAAACCTGCTTTCTTTCAGTCTGAAGCCATTGCCCCTTGTCCTGTAATTACATACCCTTGTAAAATGTCCATCTCCAGCTTTCTTGTAAGCCCCCTTTAGCTACTGGAAGGCTGCTCTGAGGTCTCCCTGGAGCCTTGTCTTCTCAAGGCTGAATAGTCCCAACTTTCTCAGCCTGCTTTTGTAGGAGTGGTGCTCCAGCCCTTTGATCAACTTCATGACCTCCTCTGGAATTGTTCCAACAGATCCATGTCTTTCTTATGCTGGGGACCCCAGAGCTGGACACGGTACTTCAGATGGGATCTCATGAGAGTGGAGGACAGAGAACCACCTCCCCCAGCCTGCTGGTCATGCTATTTTTGATGCAACCCACAATAAGGTTGATTTTTTTTCTGGGGTAAAGGGCACATTGCTGGGTTATGTTGAACTTCTCATCAACCGCACCCCCATGTCCTTCTTGGCAGAGCTACTATCAGTCTGTTCATCCTCTGGGCTGTGTTTTTGCTTGGGATTGTCCTGACACACATGCAGAACCTTGCACTTGGCCTTGCTGAACTTGATGAGGTTCACATGGGCCCATCTCTAAAGTCTGTCCAGGTCCCTCTGGATGGCATCCCTTCCCTCCAGTGTGTCGACTGCACCACACAACTTGGTGTCGTCTTCAACCTTGCTGAGGGTGCACTCAATCCCACTGTCCGTGTCAACAACAAATATGTTAAACGATGCTGGTCTCAGTACTGACCCTGAGAAACGCCACTCATCACTGGTCTCCACCTGGATATGAAGTCATTGACCACAACTCTTTGAGTGCGACTATCCAGCCACTTCCTTATCCACCGAGTGGGTTATTCATCAAATCCATGTGTCTCCAATTTAGAGGCAAGGATGTCATGCAGGACAGTGCTTTGCACAAGTCCAGGTAGATGATGTCAGTCGCTCTTCCCTTACCCACCACCACCGTAATCCTACTCTGGAAGGCTGCCGGATTTGTCAGACACAATTTGCACTCAGTGAAGCCCTGTTGGCTGTCACCAATTACCTCCTCATTTTCCATATGCTTTAACATAGTTTCCAGGATGCTCCTCAATGTTCCATCGGGCACTGAGGTGAAACTGATTGGCCTGTAACCCCCCGGGATATGTACTAAATGGCAAACCTGTGAAAAGCAGCTTATGCATTTTTGGTTTTATTCAGCAACTATGGTAATCTACAGTACTACTTTAGCCCTTCCCTAGGAAAGGGAGAAAATGTGCCTGTTTATATGGGTATTTTGGTGCTTTAATGCAGAGCAGTAACTGTTGGGCCATGTAGCAAGGGTGAGAAATGTGGTTAAGCAGATTCTCAGAAGTGATACCTGTCTGGTCTGCGCACGTGCTGAAGTCCAGTTCATTCCTGTATTGGGGAATTTGTAACTCTAATACATGTAGAGCAAATGTTTCAGGAGAGCAGACATCAGTTAACGTTTGAAGCACCCAGGTACCAGAATGTGTTGGGTAGTTGAGTAATCACAGTGAAAACAAAAGGCTGGATAGAGTGCTTGAGGCTTGTATTAGTGATGATGTCTGTCTTCTGTCTCATAAAATAGTGTTTTAACACTCAGGCACCTGCAGAGAACCAGCATTGAATTGTTTTTCTGAGTAGGTTTTCAGAGTGAACTAGTTTTCCATTATTTCTTGTAACCTCATCACTTTTAAGTATAGCTTAATTTCTTCCAGTGTCTTGGACAGCTCCTTATCTGCCACACACTTCTTTCAATGTAAAGAAAAGATGTTTTGTTTCTAGGGGGAACTTTCTGTTCCTTTGGATTTATAGTGGGTTGAATCACCAGTAGAATCAGCCCTGTGTCACCGTACCAGTCCTAGAATCTGTAACAGAGAATTGGTACCTAGACTTTACTTTACTCTTAGCCCTCAACACGAGCATTGATTTTGGTACAGCAGCACTCTCCAGCAGTACAGAGTTATTGATCCCTGCTCAGCTATCATAGTCTTACAGTATGGGTAAGAATCATGGATAGTGCCATGTGGGATTGCCAAACTCTAGTAGTCGAGGAATGAAAATAGGTCCTCCAGGTTCTTGGTTGTCATGTAACAGGCCAAGAATGTAGGACAGGCCCAGTTCAGACTTGGCCTCGAGTTTGTGTAAAATGAAAGTCTAGTAATGGTGTTCCTATGTTTGCTTTTGTAGTTCCTGTGTACTCTGATTAATTGAAACAAAAAAAGCATTTTGTAACTTTCAAATACTGCTACTTTGTGAGAGTCTAACATTGGCTAAAGCTAGATATGGACAGAAATTAAAACTTGCTTCACTTCCTTTCATTCTTTAGGCTCAGAGAAATGAAAGTACATGAAAATAAGACAGGCACAAGAAAACTGTTTTTTCAAATCCCATACAGGCTAATATTCTTTACCAGCCTAGGAAGAGAAGGAAATTTGACCTTTAGTGGCACATTTTCCAAATTCAACTGTTCGTTTAAAAGCCATGTAAGAAAAGGACAGAAGAGGCTTTACTTTGGAAAAATAAGACCTGTTCTTAGCCTCAAAAGGATTCATGACAGTACAGTTACAGTTTGTATGACATATATTCTGAGTGACGTTACTCCAAGTTCAGTGCTAGATGGATGAAACTGGCCTAAGGTTGCAGATCCTGGAGTCCACAGCTGGGCTTGAAATTTTTAAACTGAGACCTATGTGAAGTATTTAAACAATCTACTAATCTGATTTCCAAATCATATAGCCTGCCACAGCATTTATGCAAACCAATATGATGGAGAAATTTCTTAGCTTCATGCCATTTCAAGCCTTGCATTTATTTGTAACATAACCTTTAATATTACATTTATTTTCCTTCATAAGATTTATTATTTAATGTTTATACCATGTTCAAATCAGATAATTAGATTATAAAACAGTCTTTGCCAAAAACTGATAAGGGTATTCTGAGCCTCGGAAGCAGGTACATCAGAACTGAAGCCTTTTTAAAAAATGATGGATTTATATATAAATTTTGGGTATAGTGCCAAGTTATCAAAGTTGTTCAGTCCAATTATATTTACTTTTCTTAACTCAGTCACCTGTAAATTTTAGATGGAAACCCATTAAGTCAGGAGAGGTATGATTTGTAGAGTATTACAATGAATTTTTATTTTGTAAACAAGCCTAGGAAGGATAAGAAACTGAACAAAAGGACAGTGATATCACGTTGGCTTGCATATGATGGTCACAAGCACATTCCACTTCTACTGTATCCCCGAGTTAAGCCTGGCCAGCTCTGTGGAAACCTCTGTGGCTGAAAGCAGGTTTGAATGGGTAGATGTGAATCCTTATAGCATGCACCACAAAGCTACTCCTGCATGGAACATTCCTGTCCTCTTCAGTACTCTCCGATTCTAATACATTATAGTGAACTGGGATAGTACCCTGAAGACCCATCCTCTGGGCTGTATGGAAGGGCTGGCAACAAGCAGAAGGCTTTTTTAAATGTTTGTTTCCTTTAGTTTTGGCATCTACTCAGAGCCCGACCAGACCCCCCCTTCCCGCTACAAGAGGACAGACGCCAATCTGTGAGCCGGCAGCCTTCATTCACGTACTCAGAGTGGACAGAGGATAAAAATGAGGATGACTTCCTAGATTTGGACCCCGTACCGGAGACTCCGGTCTTTGACTGCGTAATGGACATTAAAGCGGAGACAGATCCAGCTACTCTAACGGTTAAATCCGTGGGCTTGCAAGAAAGGTAGGGTAGACGTGGCTAAGAGGGGAAAGTCCGGTCCCAGAATTTGTGGATTTAGGAGTTCTATGCAAAGCAGGAAGCTTTATTTCCTTTGTGAATGTCACTTTAAAATGGGGTTTAAAGTCAAGTGTCTGCTTTATTACATATATATATATATATATATATATATATATACATAGTTGTTTCCTGTCTTGTTTTCAGTCCAGTCATAAATATAAGCATATTAGCTAAAAAAACATACAGTTTCTAGGCAGCTGTCAACAAGTGCTATTCTAAAGCATCATTTCTTTCCTTTGAATATTTCTATTTGTGTTTCATCAGGCTTTTGCCATCCCTCATGATGGCAACTGTGTAGAATGAAATCCACCATAGGGCAGTGAAAGCTTCTACCTCTGAAAGAGGAGGATCTTGTAGATTTTTTTTTTTCTGTCACTCAGGCTGGAGGACAGTTCTCCAAAAGAACACCATAGGATGAGTGGTCATCTGCAATAATTCTTGTATAAATGAGTTAGTCCAAAAGTAAATGAATTTGTTTCAAATTAACCCAGTAATGAAATGTCAAGGTGAGCTGGTGTTCACTGCTTGAACCGTCAGGGCAATGGAGCTTCTCAGAGATTCACAGCTGGTAAAAGGCAGTTTCAAGATAAAAGGAAGATTTTTTTTTTCTGGTTTGTGTTCTTTCCATTTTATTAGTGAAATCAGAAAAAGGTCTTGATGAAAGAATTCCTGTGAAGAAATTCTACAAAGGTGATGATGTTATAAATAAGGACGAGGCTACTGAAAGGCCCAGCATGGCAGAGTTCTTTATTTCTAGGTTTTCAGGCTTAATTGGATTGCTAACCATAGTTAATTCTCATACCTAAAACTTAAAACAAAGGGCAGAACTTGGATTTTAAGGAGTATGATGCTGAGTTTCCAAATCTCCACAGGACACAGTAAAAGGAATGTTACAGAAGAGGCTTTCAATTTGCACTCCATGAGCTTAGAATGTTTTTTCTCACTTTATATGTTGTTATAACATTTGTCCTAAAATTTCCTATCTTTTATTGCTATATTCTATCTTTAACATGAGATTGCAGTAGCCTCTGGGGCTTGTCCCTGAACCTGCTGCTATCAGTGAGTTTTGTTGTTTCTTTCATTATAGCAAGATTGGGCTTGAAAAGCATGAATCATTTGTGTTCTTCACTATCCTTGATTCATTCCATTTCAGTCATTGTAAAGATGCTGACATTTCTTCTCAGGTGACTGCTAACCTGCAGGGAAGATACTCACTGTATTGAGAGTTAGGGAATATCAATTGGGGAGTATCAGTTGGGGAGTAAACGACTGGTTAAAGTAAAGAATTACAATTAAAAACCTGTCAAAGAACTAGAGGTGGGAAGAATAAAGCATTTGCTTGAAATTCTCACACTAGGTAGAATGTGTACTATGTGTACACTTAAGATGTAAAATAAACTTGTTTTCAACATACACGTATGCTTGAGAAGACAGACATCATTTCAGGTTTAAGCTGTGCCCTGGCAAATTTCATTTACATTAAGCATTGGACACTTTACCTTTGTTTGGTGTTGTGTTAAATTAGCTACCTGTCCCTCTTTGGAATCCATTCCACTTCTGTATCTTACTGTATCTTCTGTATCTTACTGTATCCACTTCTGTATCTTACTTCCTTCTCATTCTTTGACTCCATCAGAGGTGTAGTCAGTAGTTAAATTCAAACACCACTGAATGTTGTTAAAGAAGAAATCTCATTTCCTCATGCTGAAGAGCTATTCATGTATGTAACCTCTTCTACCTTGGAAGAACTAAAAGCATTCAGTATCAAATGCATCTTTTTCTGAGGAGAAATGTGGTAACTGTTTAATAACACAGGGAGGTAAGGTCAAAATCCTTTGAAAGATATCACTAAAGATTTGATGTCTGCCATTAGTGGTCATGTTTCATTCCAAATAATTTCCCCATGACTGTGAATCATAGCAAGAGGCTGGCTGCACATTCTTTTGGAAAAACTCCTGAATCCAGGAAAGGACTGTGACCCAAGTAACAACTTCCGTGATCTTCTCCGTGAGCTGGTAATGTGATTTTTCAACAGCTCCTGCACACATCTCCTAACTAGATTTTGCCAGCTGAGATTCATCAAAAATAGGTTTACTGTGTGGATGTATAGAACACTTATCTCGTAGTCATCATATTGTGTGACTTTATTTTTATGTTAAAGATATTTAAATATAGATTCACTGATGCCTTTTGAATCTTACTTTTGTCTATGATATGTGAGATTGGCAGAAGCTCAGAAATATATTAAAACTGTACTCAATAAACAATGTAGGCATTTTGAGGTTTTTTTTTTGTTGTGTGGCTAACTTACAATAAAGCCACTAAAAATTCTAAACTCGACAGTATCTCTGTTTTCAATGTAACTGTTAAAATGTCAGGACCTTCATTTTAACCTTCTCATTATGTAAATTCATGGAAAGAAAATTTTTCAGACATAGAAATTGTTTGCTGCAGTGGTTGGCTTTTCACATCTTCATTGATGTTGAACTGGTAGTTTATCCCAGGATCTTACTCCACCAATGAAAGTGTCGGCCTTCATGTTTCAGTGCACAAAATCATCTTCTGGTCTTGTCTACACAAGAAGCATCACCCATTTTTTACAGTTAGTGACGAAACCGTACCCATGAGAACCAGCTGGGTGCTTTTCTGAAGTTGTTAATCTGTTATTGGGACTGCGTCCATTGCTGACAGTGGTGGGTCACTCTGTTCTCTTGTAAGCAAACTTTGACCGCTCTGTTTTTGCAGGAGAGGTTCAAATGTTTCACTCACACTGGATATGTGTACCCCAGGCTGTTCTGAGCAAGGCTTTGGCTATGTCATGTCACCACGAGAACAGTCAGCCCGAGAATACCTCCAGACGGCATCAAACATTCTTACTGAAGAGGAACTGCACAAGAAAGCACTGGATTCTTTCATACTCCAGGCAGAGTTCTTTGTGAGTATCTGACTTCTCTCTTTTAGGAGCATCAATACAAATTAGATGATGTCTCTCTCCTATGAACCTTGCTATTATTTTATGCAAGTCTAAAAGTAGTGCATACAAACTCCACTTCCACCAGTGAAGCATTTAATGCAATTCCGAAATTTGTCATCCCTTGGAATGACAATATCTGAAAACTTTCATTGATATTGTCACTTAAAAACTAGAGAATTAGTTCTGGCAATGACAACAGCAAATCTTATTTTTCACAAGTTTTTGGGTTTTTGCTGCTGGCATGCTACTTTTTTATTAAAAAAAAAATCAAAGTTTTCACTAGAGTACAGAAGAAAAGCCATGTTTTCTGTAGGCATAACTTTTTGAAATGTGTCTGGAATTGCTCTAGAGATGAAATTACAGAATCACAGAGTGAGCTGAGTTAGAAGGGACCCACAAGGATCATTGATTCCAACGCTTAGCCCTGCACAGAACCAACCCCAAGAATCACACCATGTGCCCGAGAGTATTGTCCAAATGCTTCTTGAACTCTGTCAGGCTTGGTGCTGTGACCACTTCTCTAGTGTGCCTGTTCCAGTGCTCAACCCTCCTAATCCAACCTCTTTGGTGCTTAATGCTTGATGTGGAGCTACTCAATGTTCTCTGGTTAACACAGGGCTATTATTTACTAGTTTTAAGCTTGTCCGTCAGTTGCTTTTAGGATTTTGAAATATGTTTTCTTGGCTCACTGTATCCATTGATGCTTTGAAAGAAAGATTCTTTGCCTCATTTTGGGAAAATATATTTACACAGATGAAGCAAGCAGTTGAAAATTGAATTTCTGAGTAGTTTAGGACAAAGGTCAGATACATTTTGGTGTAGCGAGTACTCTAGCTTTTTAGATCTTTAAATGCTATTGAGTCTGTTCCCTACTTACTTGGATGTCCATGTGATAGGGATTGTCATGTTTGTCATGTTTATTATACCTGACAAAAATAGTAGTATGCAAAATGCTCCAGTGGCTGTATTAGGTCTACTAGGCAGGGTTGTAAATTCCTGCTCAAGATGGGAGGTAACCAGGGCACAGACTTTGCGTGCTGAGGTGTTGCAGGGCATGTGATCAAGAGCTACTGAAGTTAATACTGCAAAGTCAAATATTCTCTTAAGCATGGAATCTCAGCAGAGCAGGAGGAAGATTGTCTGGCAACATAACAGCCCTTTCACCCTGTCCTCTTCATGACCTCTAAGTGTCTGAAAGGGAAGGAGTAACGCTCTGAGTATCACCTGCTGTCCTCCCTCCTTGTGGGATTTCAGGGGTTTTTTCTCTTTACAAGAAAGGGGTATGGTCAGGGCTTCTGTTTTAAAATAGAACACCGGATATCTGTGGTCCTTAATTCACTTAGTGCTGTCCAAGTTGAAGAAAAGCAGCTTTTTTGTAGGTATGCCCTGATTCTTTCAAGGTAAAACATCTATTCCTGTTTTAGGGAGGAAATGTTCACTTAGAGTGTGAACTGACTGCTGAACTAGTCCACATACGGTTTCATCAGTCTCTGAGGTACACTGGAGCTTTCAAGCAAAGAAAATAATGTTAGAAGGAGGAAAAAATATGCTTCATTTCTCTAAGAGATTTGGAATTAGTTTTTTCATGTTCATAGAATCCTAACTGTCCAAAATTATTTTCATTCTTTAATGAAAACTGAAAAAGCACAGATAAAAATGCAATGTAATCAAAATTCCATTTCTGTAATTAAATACTGTAAACTAGGTTTTTTTTTTTAATGAAACAGTTATCACCAGCCAGCTCTGCATTGTGTATTTTCAATCTGTCTAACCCACTTGGTTTTCAAAGTCCAGATCCATGATGAAGCAAGCGGCTCTGTTTCACTTTGGAAGAAAAGTCAGAGGGGACATTTGCAGGGCTAAATCCTGAAATTCTTACAAGATTTAGAATTTTTACTCAGGTAGAAGTCCTGTTGATTTCACCAAGAATTGGCTTGAGCAGTGAATGACTTAAGACTCAAAAACAAGATCATGGGGCTTGGCTCAGGAAGAGTTTGGAGTGACTAAATACCAAGTAACAATTGAGAAAATATGAAGGTTTTGTTCCCATGCAGGTCTCCAAATTGATACAAAAGTGCTTCGACAAAATGTTTTTATCATTAATTGCCTCTAGTTAAACCCAACAGTATTCTCAGTACTGTGTGAGAGAGAGAGAACAGATAGTCTTCTAAGGTTCCAGAATTGGCCTCAAGCTGCACCAGGGCAGGTTTAGATTGAATATTAGGAAAAATTTACTCACTGAAAGGTGCTCAGGCACTGTAACAGGCTGCCCAAGGAAGCAGTGGAATCACCATCCCTGAAAGTGTTCAAAGACATGAGGATGTGAGGCTTAAGGGCATAGCTTAGCAGGGACCATGCAGGTGCTAGGTGAACAGTTGGATTCAATAATCTTAGAGGTCATTTCCAGTCTTAACGATTCCATGTTTCTGTAGTCCATAGCTCTGCTCATCTTAATTTTTTTTCCCAGAGTGAGGCTTGTCTTACTCAACCCTGATTCCTGTTACCACTGTGTCCAGCAGTGGTGTCTCAAATGCAGTGTGCAGCAGGTGGGAGGACCAGCTCATCCAAGTTCCCATGAGCCATATCTCTGCTGAGTCTGGTTGACACATCTCTTCCCATCCCACACCTACTGACTACAATTGGTGGAAGGTTCTCATTTGTTTCTACCTGGCATTGCCTGCTTATTGCAGTAGATGTGCAGTGGAGACTACAAAACCCCTCCACCTTTGTGTGTTCTTTGCACCAGCAGTGTAGAGAGCAGGTAATCCCTGAATACCCATTTGCTGTCCTTCTCCATGGAGCTTGACAGCATGATGAGCAAAACCAGTCACGCTCCCCCAGCTCCATAGAGACAGGTCAGTATGCCAACATGCCATAACGTGTGTCATACTTTGTTGCTGGTGTAAGTCCCTAGCAAATTATTGACTTCCACTCTCTGAGAGGAAGCAATGTGAGTCAGAAAGGATAGTGTCTGAGGTCCATCGCTCTTGGAGCAGTGTCTTGAGTAGCACCGTTTGCTTAGTTCTGTGCCTACACTTGCAATGCAATTCTAATAGTATTAGGAGTGAACATAATGCTGTCGCACGTTAGTCAATGAATTAGGCACTATAAGTGTTTTCATATTAAAGATTTCAGAAAAAAAAGCCAGTGACAGTAAAAGGAAACATCAATCATATTTTGGTGATAAATTGCTAGAAGTACTGTACCGTATGTCTCAGTTAACTTCATCATTTTGCCTCCCTCACAGTGAGGACATAATGGGCTTGGGATTTTTATTCCTCTTGTGAATCTAATAATACCACCTACTGTCTTTTATGTTTTTGTGATTTTTGTTGTTTGTTTGTTTGTTTGTTTTTTTAACAGGAAATTCCAATGAACTTTGTTGACCCAAAGGAATATGATATTCCAGGCTTAGTGCGTAAGAATCGCTACAAAACAATTCTCCCGAGTAAGTTTGTGCTTTTAAGTCACTCAGGTAGGGTGGTTTATTCCACATGCTGGAGGGCTTTTCATGATGTGTACTGTCACCACAATGTATCATCCAAAGGTCATGTTTATGAAGCAGGAACATGGCTTCAAAGTATAAATCAAATTTGCAAAGAGGTACAGAGCATGAAGAATCTAAGTGCTGCTGATTTTCCGTGAATCTTTGGCTCTTAAGTTATTAGAATTGCATCATTTGGCGCTGCTTAAAAATTCTATCTAAGATCTTGGTGTTCATTCAGATGTTACTTAGTGGTTTCTTTGAAAGTCCTTTAGAAGGACTAAACTCTAGCAATGTTATTTTTCCTTGCCAACGTTTTCTCAGAATCATGCCTCAAATGCAGACTGAGAATATAGGGAACTAGCCTGATGGCATTAAGATGACACAGAAAATAATAATATTTTTCTTTTCTATTACACTAATTTTATTTGTAGCTAGGAAAAGGAATTTTGAGAAGCATTTTGGTACGAAGTTTTACAAGTGTCATCATTTTCCCCTCTCTCATACTTAAAGTTATTTTGAAAAGTGAAACGATTGGATGTCATGCCTCTTTTTTTGCTTTAAGTCATTGCTGGAAGATGCCACCAGTAGCCATGGTAACTGGATTTGCAAAGTCCAAAAGGTTCGATGCCAGGTTAACAAAGATAAGTGCAGAGAAGTCAAAAATACCTAACATTTCAGTCGATGAACCTGGACTGGAAATGGTTTCAAAAGATATTTTTTTAATCTGTCTTTAAACTCCAGTAGCTGCAGCTCAGTGTGTGCAATGCTTCTGATGACTTTACTCATACCTTAGACAAGAAGTATAAAAACATTCAACCACCTTTCACTGTTGCTGTGCTAATGACTGAGGTGAATTTTTCAAGTATTAATTCACTGTTTTTGCTGGAAAGGGAAGATTGCAAAAATAGCTGATGATTTAAGATGTCCCAGGTGCCAGATTTCTAAGTAATCTGTGTATTCTGAATTTGGTATCTAATGTGTACTTTGAGAGCAGGATCCATTTTAAATGTGTAATATTGGATGTTTAAACTGAACCATCAGAATTGCTGCCATTTTGAAAACGCTGTTCCAGAATTGTAATCAAATGACTAAGTATGGCCCACTACCATATTTTATTAAAAGTGATCACTCAGTGGGCTAATTATTTGCTGCAATCTTCATCTCAGTGACATGGATATCTGCTAGCAGCCAATGTTGTCACTTTGATCTCGCCATCTCAGCTAACTGGTTTCTACCCTACCATCTCTCTAAGGGTGAACAACCTTATCCCAGGGTTATTATGATCTGAGTATTTTTTTCTGAATGAATTCGAAAACTTGTAACCTCTGTGCAACTTTGCCCCTGACTGGGGCCAAAGGATGGCTTGATATTGCTGAGGAAGGAAGAGAGCAGAGTGTTTGCTCTTATCCTACTACCTCTATTTCGAAGGGCTTAGCGCTGGCAGTAAAAGCGGGTAGCAAGGAGAGCTAAACATTCACTTTATGCTTCAAAACCAAGGATTCCAATAAACATGAATCTAGTCCCTCTGAGGACAGTGTTTCATGCTGACTGTGTGTTTGTAGTACTGTAGAAATTACTATGTGATCGGTCCTTAATGTGATATTGGGTAAAGCACAATTTTTGCATATTTTTTTATCTAGTTTCTAAGCAGGCTGAATTTTCTTATGAAAAAGTAATCTTTGGTTTGGTTTTAATATTATCCTGGTGATATACTCTGTTGCTCTTTGCTGAGGCCTCTGTCAGCAGTAGGCTGTTTCTTATCAATTGTAACACACTGTGTAGCACTGGTGAAAGAGCATAAACGTGGGCCTGTGTCAGTTTGCATTGAAATCATTGCAACAGCCATTGACTTCAGCAGGAATTGGACTGAGCTTCTCAAGTGAAATAATGTTTTCTTTTGTCATCTTATTAGAACAAGAATAGTGCTTCATAAACAGTCTCAATGAAGGAGACTCTGGAAAGATTTAGAGTACAAGAGACTGTTAATATTCTTTAATTTCTCTTTAACCGTTATATTTGTTAGTAGCACATCTTGGAGTTTGGTTCATTGCAAGATGAAACAGGAAAAGAGGTATTGTCGTCTGTCTTGCCTGGGCACAAGAAATGCGTGCTTATGGTTTGGGAGAAAAGCTGTTTGCTGTCATTTCACAAACAATATTTCAAAAGTCTTTCAAGCCAGAATGAGTCTGTTGACCTAGCATACTAAGAAATAATTTCCTGGAGGAGAAGACTGCTTTTCCAGGGTCACACTGAGACACTGACTGTGCTACAGGACCAATTAAGCGGGCTTCAGAGAGCGGGTGAAACTATCAGAAGAAGGCATATTACCCCGACCATCCTTTGTTTTTTTTTTTATGGTAACTTTTTAACATGGGAATTTTGCAAGGCCACTGACATCTGTTGTGATGGCCATGAGTGCGTGTGAATTTCTCACTGTACAAAATAATCTTGTGTGTCTCTTTCCTCTGAGGAACTGATAAATTCTTACTTATCTCTTTACACCTTTCAGATCCTCACAGCAGAGTGTGCCTTACCTCAGCTGATCAGGACGATCCCCTCAGCTCTTACATCAATGCTAACTACATCAGGGTAAGAGCTCAGTAGTCCGATGTGTCTGTCTAGCCTCTGTCAGCTGCTGTTAATGTAAACAGAATTGCAACATTCACTGGCTTTTAAAGGCATCCTAGCTGATCTGATTGCTCTTCTCTCCTGCTTACATTAGCTGAAAACCCAATCTCAAAGTGCACCTGTACAGATTCAGACCAGACAGAAACATACTTCTGCAGTTCTTGATGCAAATTCCTTGTCAGCTGGCCTAACCAAGGCGCTGGATAATCAGCCTGAATAAGGCTTTGACCTAGCCAGAGTCACCTCAAGGCCGTTGGACACTCTTTGCTGGAATTACGTGAGTCCATACTGTGCCTTCACTCCATGTACACGTGTTCAGGAGAGAGATGGAGAGGAGAACTGATGCCGCAAAGTCACCATTTCAACCAGTATAGCTCTCTATTTTAAAGACCAAACCTTCAAGGTTGTGGTGGACATCTCTGTTAAAATTGATCTCTTGTTGTTTTGTTGGCAGGGCTATGGAGGAGAGGAAAAGGTATATATTGCTACTCAGGGACCGATAGTTAATACTGTCACTGACTTCTGGAGAATGGTGTGGCAGGAGCGTTCTCCCATCATTGTCATGATTACCAATATAGAAGAGATGAATGAGGTAATGGTGTTACATTTAGTCTGATTTTTAACCGTACTCTAGTAGATATTTTCGACATAGACACTAAGCCAGCAAATAGAAGTTAGTTCAATGGCCTGTGCAATCAGAGACAGCATTAAATTCTTCGGGCTCAAAGAAGATGTGGGCTTCTCTTTCAGTTCCATTTAATGTAAGTCCTGTTTTGCTGTCTGACTCAACCTACTGCTGGTTTTGCCATTTTCATCTCTCAGCTGACCTGAAACCTCTCCTAACCCAGCTCTATTTGCAGGCAGTCTTTGAAATTCTCTCTAAAGGAATCAAAAACAGTAGTAGCCCATAACTACTAAGGTTGAATATCTTCAATCAGTAGAGGTGCTGCTGCTTTATCTTGCATTTATTATGATTTGGCATCTATATGCACATTTCATTGAAGCTGTACCTGATTTCTGAAAAAATGCTAGTTATGACAATCAACAATTAGAACTGACTTGGATGTGAAGGACCTTTTCCTGGGTGCATGTAGGAAATGTTTTTAAAATACTGAAATGCTGAAATTGTCTATTTGCCACCTACTTCCAGAAATTAAATTGTTATTGTGTTTCTGCTAATCCACCTAAAGCAATTTATTTTTTTTTCAGTTTAAAATACTGCTGCCCTCCAGCTGTTCATTACTTACCTGCTGAAATATTTGCCCCGTGGCAGAGTTGCAAGAACTATGTACATGGGCTTCAGCTGACAGACGTGTAGCTGAGCTTACATCTGCCTTTACTGCCAATGTAAGATGGGAGAAAGTGGTCTGGGCATGTGTTGTGCTCTGCATCCTCCCTCACCACTAGCAGCAATATGTAGTGGAGATATCCAAATGTTGTTTCTTAAACTGCAGCAGCAGTATATGTCAAGCTTGTCCTTGAGAACCCATTACTATTTAGGTGAGAGAGTTTCCTTTGGAAAAGAGGCTTTAGATATTTAGAAGCCCAAGAATATGGGCATACATCCAGCATACACACAGAGTTATAATGACTTGCCTGCTTGCTGGATGCTTAGTGCCCATAACCAGGCACGTGCACAAACCTTTAGCTTTTCACAGTTATAAAGTAAATAAATTTAACCTTGAACTGCACTGAAAAAAAACACGAACAAGACGGACACAAAATTATCATGCTTTGCAAGTGAAAAATGTTCAGTTATTACAGCTGGCTGATTAGACATGTACTGTCAAGGCATTGCTGATGCAAAATATAGTATGCTGCTGATCTAAAAGTTTTGTTTTCACTAACATTTTTAAGCTTGCATATGCCTGTGTCTGAGCAGCAGCACTGAAGTAATAACTTGCTTGTTGATCTAAGTTGCTGGTTTCTGGCACGTAAGATGTTAAAATGTCATGACAAAGTGTACTAGAATCTTTTGAGGACTTTCAGGTTTGAAGAGGAAATACTGATCCTGAATGACATACCTGGTGATAAGTTCTTCCACTGTAGTTTTCATGGCAAGATTGTATACCATGAATGCAAAATAATCTTTATGTCTGAACTGCCTCTTAACCATACTGGCCAAGTATTTTACCCCTCCTGTCAGTCTTGGGAAGCAGTGTGCTGCAGTACTGATGCACTACATAACTGGAGCTTGTTACAGCCTATCTGTCACAACAGAGCTGCTGAGTCTTTTCTGATACCTTTTGTGTCAAAAATTAAATGGTGTCAGGAATCTCACCCATAAATACAGGGTCTTGTCATGTAAATGACTTCTATATTAATTTCCTTTTTCTGTAACATATATATTAAAATATGAATAGCGGGACTCAGAAGTACCTAGATTCAAAACCAAAACCTTTGTTCAGCAATGATGCTCGTAAGAGGGGCTTTGCGTTCCTCCTCAGTGCAATGACTTCACTAATGTGAGTATTAAAAGCTCTGTACCTCAGCCCTCTGTCACTTCTAATCTGAACTGACAGACAGCCCACAGAAATGAGTGGGCCATCTTACTCCACTCCTTTAAGCAGAGCAATGTCTGTGCTATTGATAGCTGCTGGAGCTCTTGACAATTTTTACAGTGGATTCTGCAGTTTATGAGAAAAAACACAATCTGCGTAAATAACTTTGCAGAGACACAGTGGGCCACACTCCCAGTGGGTTATTAACTGAGGCACCGTGCAGATGGAACAACACTGATTCTCCCACACAAAAATTTTTACTCAATAACTTTGCAAGGTACTTTTGTCTTGTTAGTCTTTCTCCTGAAGCACAATTATTTTTGGTGGGGGAGAGCAAAATGATTCAACTTGCTTCCTTCAAGATTGTGTGCAGCTATGTGAGAGAGGAATCTTACAGGCATCATCTTTACCAAAGTTTGTTGAATAGTAGATACCTACTCTCCTGTGATAACAAGATTACCTCTTGCATTATCACAAGGGAGCCTTTTTCTCAGATTCTGCCTTGTTCACGTCATTCCTTGTCCACGAAGTAATTTGTGCACCATCTTGAAATGCCTGTCTCTGCCTTTGCATATGGATCAGTTCTAGGAAGCTGCATACAAAAAAAGTCTTTTTTAGTCCTCCTTACGGGATGGGAGTGCTTACAAATTTTTAGCTTATCTTTAGTATATTGGTACCACAAAGTGGATTTGCAACTGGACTATAGTTTCTGAATCTCTAATTGTCAGATTGTGCTGGCTGCATCTCTGACTGGTTTGGGGCAAAATCAGTCTAATATCTCTCACTGCTATTGCTTCCTTTTAGTTCCTTAGCTTTGAAAGATTCTCACTGACAATTTTAAGTGGATTTTGATATGCAATCTGTTTCCCAAAACATTCCTAGTCATATTATTTTATACAAAAACTTATGCAAATGATCATTTTATATTCAGAGAGCACTGAGTCTTTATAAAAAAATAGGAAAGCTGTATTTTGTGTTTCCATATTGGTAACTAGTGTGTATTATACTAATCATTATTATCTTAAGAAAGGATTAATCTAAAAACACAAGCACATTGCCACTGGTCTCCCTAATGAACCTTCAAAATGCACATCAGCTGCACAAAGATAAATAAGGATGTGTGTACTTAAAAGATTTGGTTAGTAATTACTTGATTTGTGCATTTTTAATCAAGCAATCAGGCTATTATGAGTGCAGCAAAAATCAGCTGAAATGTGGTCCCTGTTTAGAAAGTGAAAACTTGTACTTGTTATAGAAACAAAGTTTATTCATATTCATCTATGCATGTGCTATATCCAGTTTCAGAGGAGCAAAAATGAACCTCCCTTGATACCTGCTTAACTAGATTTATTTTATATTGCACACAGAAATGCACAGAATATTGGCCAGAGGAACAGGTCACCTATGAAGGCATAGAAATCACAGTTAACAGAGTCATACAAGCAGACGATTACCGTTTAAGGCTCATCACCCTCAAGGTAAATCACTCCAATGTACTTACAGTAGTTTAGAAGTCTAAACCTATACATTGAGATGTTCATGGAGAGTCATGTAGAAATCTTCTGTGAGGTGTACTGCTGTACAAATACCACTTTTCATTACTGAAGTCGTCGCAGCTTTGCTCGGCTCGTTGATATGAAGACTACAGTAAAATAAGCAGTCAGAGATTTAGGCTGCATGTGTACAGTCTGAAAGCCACCAGGCCAGTTGTAGTAGGATGGCGTTCACTTGGTAAGAAACCAGTGACTCATTCTGTGCCTGTGTCCTCTGAGTTCACTGATCATTTAGAATGACGTGGTAGCTCACAGAGAGCTTCTTACTAGCCTTTCCAAGTCATACTACAGACAGCATTTGTGGACTAACACACCATCCTCTGTGGTGATGTTCCATAGAATTCAAAGGCTTGTTTATTCATAGGGCCATGGACTTGGGCAAAGGGCTACTAATTACTAACAGGGAATTTTTAACCTGCATGGCATCTTACATAATTTGTAGTATGTATGGGTAGACCCCTAAGAAATATTCTTGTCTTTTTATGGTCATTATTAGGATGCTGTCAGACTGAGCTGTTTATACTTAAGATGACTTGTGCTACTAGCAAGAAGTGGAGGAGTTGAGAACGCAGCAAAAGATGTTTTAATTTTGCTTACCTATTTTCAGTTTCTCTCAGCACTGGGACTACTGGTCTGCTTGGCACTTGTCAGTAGTATGGTAGCACCACTTCTGTTCCCCAAGTCTAAACCCCTTTCAATAGGTACTATACTAATTTATTCTTTGAGTAATTTGTCTGACTTGACTTCAAAGATACTTTAAGGGATCATTCTGCTCCAAGACACTAAAACTGTTGATGATTCTTAAAAATATTTTCTCCACAACATTCTTCATGCTTACATTTCTAAATATTAGTGTCTTTCCAGCTAACTGTATATGTATTTTTATATACCAGTAACCATTCTATCATCTTGTTGATAGAAACTTAAACATGGATTTGATTTTCTAAGTACTTAGATACTACTTGATCTAAACTACCAGGGTCCTATTTTACAACTGTTTTCATTGCTAGGTTCTAGAATATCAAGCTACATGTTTCAATAAGAACAGTCTATTTACATAAACTTCATACATCTTTCATGTACCAGATCTATCCCTGACCTCAGTATAACACCACAGTTTCTTTCCAAGCTGGAAAAACTCTTCTTTTATCCAACCAGTTTCAAGTCTCTTCAGCCATATGCTAATAGGCAGAAAGCCAGCATATGATATCCCATGTCTGGGATGTTCAGAGTGTGGAAAGTCTGTCACTCAGGCTTTTGGCTAAGGCAGCAAGGAGAAAATCACACTCCCTGACAAGTGGGAAGTGACATGTTGCAGAGTTGCAGCTTCATCCGAGTTAAACAATGTTTTTTGTTTTCGGTACTAGTGTGGCAATGTCTCTTTCTCCCCACCCCAAGCATCAGGATGTGAACTGTTGAATTCTAAAGCTGAAATAAAGATTCCGTTTGTTAAGTTACCATTGCCTAGAGCTGTACATTTATCATTTAATAGCAGTAGTGGAGTAGGAGCTCCAAACCATGCGTACATTAAGTGACTTGGTAGTGAAAACTGGAGAAACCATGAATAGACTTCTGTTTTCCCTTAAACAGGAGTGGTCAGAAATATATGACACCACCAGCAGCAATATATGATTACTGCATGTTTTACAGAGTGGACTGTCATACTTCTCTCAGTATAGAGGACAGGATTTGACAAGCTTCAGGAATTTATAGAAAGCTCAGGCAATAGGCAAGGTTTGTTTTCCCTTCTCAGAGAAACCTACCAGTGCCTAGTCACTGATTCATGACCTCAGCTACAGCATACGTGATAGTAGACTTCAAACCATCACTTAAATTTTGCTTCCTCCTAAGTGTTCCTATGTCTTCTCAGTCTCAAGGAACCACCAAGAGAGAATATTTTGTTAAAGTCAAAGCAGAAGTGTACAGAACCACGAAAGTTAGAATTCTCTAAGCAGAAGCATAAAACTTTTATCACCGTAGACAAAACTAAAGACATCCAGAGTTCATCATTAGAACTTTGGCTGTTTTCCATTGCTGTCAACTAAGCGACTTTATGTAGTGATTCATGTTTTTCTTCGGATGACTTTCATCTTTTACTTTTTTCTCTGTGTTATTGGCAACATTTGTATTATCATTTTTCACAACTGAGCTAAGAATCAGGTGTTCATAACTTCTGTGGCTCACACATAGTCACATTCAAATGCAACTGTCTATGTTCCTGTTTCAGAGGAGTGTTGATTGGATTTACTGAAGTGAGCTCAAGTACTATTCATGACAACTGATAATGCTCTCTTAAACAAAATATTTTCTCATTAGGGTAAATAACCTAAGGCCAGGCTCTGTGCTACAATAGTAAGATTCTCTTTTCCTAAAGTGAGTTATATGTAGCTTTAAGGTTCCTATGACTGTTCTTCAGTGAGCATTTTAAACCCACTGTAAGATGGAACAGCATCTCAATGAAGCCGAGCCTCCTGTTGCCCAGCTCCCTTGTTCCTACCTTTGTGCCATCTCTCCCATATTCCCTCACAAGCATTTATATGACTGTGTGGTAAGCCAAAGGGGGAAACCAATAAATCCATCTGAAAATTAATCAATCTCAAGAAAGTAAAAAGATTTAACTTGATCACTTTCCCAGTCTAAGTCACTGTGAAGCTGTGCAAAAGCTCTGTCAACCAAAGAGAAGGATGGAAAATGGCACAGTCACAGAGCACTCTTAACATTCAGTCTCTGACAGTCATAGGGAGGGACTTGGGAATATAGATGACAGAAACTATTTTCAGATTTTTGTGCCTTGTTCTTTAGAAGAGCCAAATTCGTCTTTTTTTTTTCCCCCTCCCCTCTTCAACTCAGACAGCGCTGTGTTGAAGGAAGGGTTGTGGAAGATAACATTTCTGTTCCTGGACCTTTTGAAAACATTTATTTAGCCCTGTGCCAGCTGGCTTATGTAATGGCTGTAGGCTAAGGCCAGTTGCCTGATCACCATGTTACTATTTTGCACCTTTAGAAATCAGACAGAAGGATCACTTTGAACACACAAAATCAGAAGCGCACAGTGCTACTTGGCACTCGGAAAAGGAAATGGCATATTTGCTATTTCATAGCCATGCTGAGACAGAGAATCAGAATTTGTGTCTCTCAAAAAGCCATGGACTGCAGCTAGAGACAATTCCAACCTTCCATAGAGTCTCTGAATTTCTCACAGTGTCTAAGAGAAGAGTAGAATTGACAGGAAACTGATGTAAGTCTGTCTGTCAGAAGAGATAGAAAAATAAGCTCCCATCTCTCTCCCTCATCTATTTATCTAGCTATCAGAGACAGAGATATGGCTCCTGGCTCTCTGTCTGTCAAATACATTATGAAAGCAATTATGTCACAAGCACAGCTCTGGCTTTGCTGAATGAATCTGTCAAAAGGGAACAGACTGCCTGGAGTGTTTTGCACATGGCTCTTGGCACTAAAAGAGCAGAATACTTTAGGAGGGAGGATATTTTTTTTTTTAAAGAAGTACACTGAAGTGCAGACATGATATTTGAAGTCCAGACTTCTATGTTGTGTGGCTTCCAATATGGATCTCTCCATTAACATTCACATAATGGTTGGGTTGGAAGGGACCACTAAAGATCATCTGGTTCAAGCCCCCTGCTAAAGCAGGTTCACCTAGAGCAGATTGCATGGGATTTTGTCCAGGTGAGTTCTGAATATCTTTCGAGAAAGAGACTCCACAACTTCTCTGGGCAGCTTGTTTCAGTGCTCTGTCACCCAAAAAAGGTTTTCCTCATGTTCAGATGGAACTTCCTGTGTTTCAGATTGTGCCTGTTGCCCCTTATCCTGTTGTTGGGCACTACTGAAAAGAGTCTGGCTCCACCCTTCTAACACCCTCCCTTCAGATATTTATAGACATCAATAAGGTCCCCTCTCAGTCATCTCTTCTCTAGGCTAAACAGGCCCAGCTCCCTCAGCCTTTCCTTAGCAGTGGGGTGCTCCAGCGCCCTAATCATCTTTGTGACCTTCCACTGGACCCTCTCCAGTAGTGTCTTGTCTCCCTTGAACTGAGGAGCCCAGAACTGGACACAGCACTCCAGGTGAGACTTCACTGAGGCTGAATAGAGGGGCAGGGTCAACCCCCATGACCCTCTGTCAATGCTCTTCCTAATCCACCTTAGGATACCCTTGGCCTTCTTGGTCCCAAGGGCACACTGCTGGCTCATCAACACATTGTCGTCCACCAGGACCCCCAGGTCCTTCCCCACAGAGCTGCTTCCCAGCAGGTCAGTCCCCAGCCTGTGCTGGTGCAAGGGATTATTCCTCCCCAGGTGAAGGACCCTGTACTTGCCTGTGTTGAACTTCATCAAGTTTCTCTCCACCCAACTCTCCAGCCTGTCCAGGTGTCACAGAATGGCAGCACAGCCTTCTGGTGTATCAGCCACTCCTCTCGGTTTTGTATCACCAGCAAACATGCTGAGGGTACACTCTGTCCCTTCATCCAGGTCATTGAGGAGTAAAATGAACACTACTGGACCCAGTGCTGACCTTTGGGGAACAATGCTAGCTGCAGGCCTCCAGCTGAATCTTCAACACTGTTCACAACCCTCTGAGCTCTGCTGTTCAGTCAGTTCTCAATCCACATCAGTGTCGACTCATCTAACCCGTGCTTCCTGAGCTTACCTATGGGAATGTTATGGGAGAAAGTGTCAAAAGTCACTGTCCCCTCATCTGTCCACTGCTGTCCTTTCATCTACCCAGACAGTCACACCATCACAGAAAGCTGTCAGATTGGTCAAGCATGATTACCCCTCAGTAAATCGATGTTGGATACTCCAGATAACCTTCTTTTCCTCCTCATGTTTAGAGGTGACATCCAGGGTGAACTATTCAATCACCTTTCTGGGGATGGAGCTGAGGCTGACTGGCCTGTAGCTCCCTGGGTCCTCTTTGCCCTTTTTTAAGATTGGGGTGACACCCCTTTTGCTTTATTTCTTACCCAGAAGGATGCACCGATCTTGAGCTTTGAGGAAGTGATCCTTGAATATTAACCAGCTGTATTGGACCTCCCATCTTCTAGGGCTCTAACCCAGGGGATTCCTCCAGTTAATTTCTTGAAGAAAGCAAAGTTAGCTCTCCTAAAGTTCAGTCTTGTAATCCTACTTACTACCCTTGCTTCTTCCGAGCAGGATCCTGAATTCTATCCTATCTTGGTCACTGCAACCAAGGCTGCCCCCAACCTTCATGTGCCCAACCAGTCCCTCTCTGCTAATACAAGGTCCAGCAGCACACCTCTCCTCTTTGACTCTTCCACCACCTGTATCAAAAAGTGCTCTGCAGCAATCTCCTGGATTGCGTGCATCCAGCTGTGTTGTCTTTCCAGCAGATTGATTCAGTCATCTCACTCTGAAACGGAAGGCCATGTTTCAGTATCAATTTACAACGAGAAGTTCTTTTAAAACTTTGTGGTGTTTGTCTTAACTGGATTGCAGAAAGGAGAAGAAGTCAGAAACCTGAAACATTACTGGTACACATCTTGGCCAGACCAGAAGACACCAGATCAAGCCCCTCCTCTGTTACAGCTAGTACTGGAAGTGGAAGAGGCCATGCAGAGTGCAGAGGAGAAGAATGCCCCAGTGATTGTTCACTGCAGGTAAATAAATGTTGTACATAAATTTAAGGGCTTCTTTTCATGGCATAGTGCAGATACTATCATGTAGGCCATAAGTCAGACATTGGAGATCTTGTCCAACTGCTTCTGAAATATGCTTGGAACTTCAAATACTTAATGACAATAGTTGTCTATTACCCAATGTCGCGTTCAGATACAGATTGAGATGAACACAGAAGCTGGTGGAGGCTCAGTTACCTGTAAGAATGCCTTCATTTCATTTTCCTTACCAGTATTACATGCTTTTAATGATCTTTAAAGGGCCAAGTTTGCAAAGATTGACATAGTTTTGATGAAATTGAGTAGGAAGACACATGCAAGCAGAAAAATAAAAATATTAAACTTTAAACTTCAAACCCCCTTTTTGTAGATTCCTCCTTTGCTTAAAAAAAAAAAAAAAATCATTATTAGGCCAAAGACAATAATTTAAGTATAGCACATAAATGAAACAGTGACAAATCAGCAAAGCTGATTGCAGCAAGTACTAACCAACAGTCAGGAAATTTATGCAATTGATAGTAAAACTGAAGTATCAGTAAAAAGCCCTGGCAAAGATGAAAACTTCTTGTATGGAAGGAACAAAATCCTTACAGTGGTTTGAAGCCTGATGAGAAAATTGTAATTATCAATCAGAGCAGAATAAAAATAGATGAAGATAGATACTTCTGTCTTCAGAAAGAAGTAGGATGATGTACTTAGCACTTGTGATGAAGTATGTTCTTCTGCACTGCTAACTAGGGAGTGTGTTAAGCAACGACTGCTGACCATCATTAAATCAGCTATGCTGAATGATTTCCATCCAAGGTTATTTAAAAAAGTTGGTTCACAGACTCTAAACCATTAAAGTTTAGTATAGTTGAATGTAGTTCTCGGAAAATTTGAGAAGTTCCAGAAGTCTAAAAGCAAGTCCTGTTTTGCCAGTGCTTAGAAAGGTTAAATGTGATTACTTGGAAACTGCAAGTCAATTGTCAAAGCAGTTATTTCAGGTAAATAGCAGAAAGACTGATAAGAGGTGCAGTTATCTTGCCAGGGTAATCTTCCATAATTTCAATAAAATATATTTTGCCAAATAGATTTTTTTAACGAATTTTACTTCATTTTGCATAACGTTTTCTAGGAAACAGCAGATGGTTGCTCTCCAAAATCCATAGTAAATGGGTATTATACAATGAGAATGTTTTTAAAGAGCCTGTTGACATGAATTATTGGTTAGCCTGGTGTCATCAAAAATCCTTCTATAGGCTAATATGGAGTAAACACTAGTAAAAAGTTTGTATGATACCACATGTGCAGTTTTTCTGCCTATGTTTTTAAACAGATGTTAACAAATTGGGAAGAGTTCAGACAAAAATAAGAAATGTTTTTTAAGAACATTCCCCTTTGCCCTTGGAAATCTGTGACTGTATAAGAGCTCCTTGAAGCATTATGGTATTTGCTGCAGGTGAAGCTGCTGGTCACCATGTCACTCTTTCTGTGCGTATTTTTTTGTCCTCTTGTAAGGTTCATCCTCAGGACAAAGTAATAATATGGAGAGAAATGGGGTACTTTTATTTGAAAAAAACTACTAGGAGGCATGGTGAAAGAATTATAAAGTATTTTATGTGGATAATGTGCCACTCTTGTGCAGTCTTGGAGGGATTATGACCTTGTCTGGGCCACTGAGAGACCTGCAGCTTCCCCTGGGACAAGTGCTGTCCCAGTGCTGTTTGCTTTATCTAAAAATGGGTGTTTTTTTCTTTCTTTGCAAAACGCTCTGGAATCTGTATGTCAGGAGCTCTGGCTCTGTGCTGTGGTCTGTTTGGTTACGGGCAACTAGAAGATGAAGGACTTTGTGAGCAGCAGTGAACCATGAATTCCACTGTTTCTTGTACATTTGTTGCCAGTGGTTTTGCATTATGACTTTCTCACAATGTAAATGAAAGCAGGATTTCTTGTAGTTGTGTCAAGTAATTATTCCTGAGTGTGCTCACTTAATTATTTCACGGATAAGAAGGGCTTCCAGCATTTGCTGCTAGTTTATTAGGTGATAAGAAGAATTCACAGCTTCTGTAGCACTGTGCCTTTGAGAATAAATTCAATTCTGGTCATTAACCAAGGACTGAATCAGATACAAAGCAGTTCAGGAAAGACAAACACATTTCTTTATTAGCGAATTTGTTGTATCCTGCTCTAATTCAGATAATTACTAGATTGTAGATCTGATCAGCAAATGGCATCACACTTACTATATTGCTGCTAGCTCTAATAATTTAACCAAGGGTTACATTTTTTTATGCACTTGTGAATGAAAATAACTTTCAAAGAACCTTTAGAATTAAGAATGTCAAAGCAAAATTTACCTTCAAAGTAAGGGTTGCTGTCAAACCAAATCTAACTAAGAAATACAGTTTAATTGCTTTTTTTCAATGGTTCAATGGCAGGTTCAACAACATATTGGGTCAAGTGATATCTAATAGTCCATTTTTAGCACTGTATGTGCAATGTTCACCCTTTTGCTATGAGTGGCTCACACTTAATCGTGTTATCCCACTGAAGTTAGTATGTTTTCCTAGTTTGGGCTTTCTGTCTGGTAGCGCTCACCTGGCAAAGGTCGGAGGGGCAAAAAAGATAATGGGGTTTGTACTGGTTTAATGGTACTTGTTTAGCAAGGAAGTTCCAAAGTCATTCTGACATCTCCACCACCTCTCTTTGCTTTTCCCTTCCTCAGTGCAGGCATCGGGAGGACTGGCTGCTTTATTGCAACCAGTGTGTGCTGTAAACAGCTGAAGAATGAGGGCATAGTTGACATATTGCGAACAGCCTGCCAGTTACGGTTAGACAGGTAAGAAAGCCTGTTTCCTTTCCAGAAAAATAAGAAGAAAAATGGTAACATTTCCCTCTATTTAAAGAGAAACAAACGGGAAGAGGAGAAAAACAAAGGCAAGTGGAGGTCAAGAGAGAATGTCCTTGAAGGAAGTTTTCATGTTCTAAACTGTTCTGACTTGTAATCTTTGCCTATTTTATGAACAGTAAACCTAATGAACACCCATAGAACTGAGCTAGACTCACAGCTGGCATCAAAATCTACATAGCTGCCCATCTCCATGCAGCAAGGGATGGCCTTTTACTAGCTGAGAAGTTAGCCCCATATTCATACAGAAACAAAGGCTCAAAGATCTGCTGTACAGATCTGCTGTACAGATCTCTGCTACTCTGTTCAGAGCCATGGATCACGACTTTCCTCCCAGGTAGAGTAAATAAAACTGGTCTCACATACTGGGAGCTGTGAGCCATGTTGGGAGAGACATTGCTTGGAGAGGGAGACAATCTGGAGTGTTTGGAGACATATGAAAGGAGCTGTGAAAATTTCCACAAATTCAATGGTTTCCAGTTAAGCATTTCTTAACACACCACCTTGAGTTTGATTATGAAGTAAACAGACTTGAATTTTGCACCAGAGATGTTATTTTTCCTCTCCCACTGGTTTCAAGTGCCATCAAAACATGTCTCAGTGCTCTCTCTAATGATAATGATAAATGTAGTCGGGGGAAGAGATGTCACGAAAAACATACCAAAGATTTTTCTGAGGGGAAAAAAAGAACCTCAACCCCACGCTGAACTTTATTTCAGAGGAGAAATTATGCTCAGTGGGAGGGAGAAAATGAAATGCTTGCTGCCCTGCTGAGGCTCTGATAGACAAGGACCTGCAGGGGCTTAGAGATTTGGCTATTTCAATGGATTTCAGACCAGACAAGGAAAGGCTTCTTGAGAAAAAGAAAACCAGAATATGAATAGTGAATGCTGATCATCCACAGACCAATGAAATATCTGTCTGGATGTGAAATATCTTGTGTCTGTGACTAATGTTACAGAGGAAAATAGCCATACAAATGAAGGTTGAAGATGCCTGCTTACAAATGAGTGTGATACAGAAAGCCAATTAAAAATACAAGGGGGAGGCAGAGGGGAACTGGCAGTCATTTTTAGAGGCTGAAGAAGGGAAATAACACTTACAGGACACCACCGAGGGAAAGAAAGACTGCAGGAACCTCTGTAGCTGTCACATACCTCTCAGGAGTGGGATGGGATGGGATGGGATGGGATGGGATGGGATGGGATGGGATGGGATGGGATGGGATGGGATGGGATGGGATGGGATAGGAAAAAGCTGTTTAAATGTTATGGGCTAAAATACTCCAGACAGAAAGCATATCACCATCCTTCCTACTGAATAGCATGATTTCTTCAAGGACTGAAAAATGGGGCTCGTAGTCTCTTGGAAGTCATGATGCCATCCACTCTCATTTTAACTAAACCCCCGCAAAAACTCCATGTGACTTCAAAAGTAGCATGAGATGATGAGACAGTGTCTAAGCAGCTACAGGAAGGAAGACTGCCTGTGTCTCCTTCTCTTGCCTGGTCATTGCTGGCTAGAGAAAACAGGGTGAATGGGAAGGAGTCACCAGGTACACAGGGAAAGAGGATTGCATGCAGGCCTGAGTAGATGTGTAAAGGAAATGCCCCTCACTGCTTCACACACGAGTACAGAGGTTGACATTAGCCCTAAGAATCTCCTCTGACGTTGCCATGGGTGGGAAGAGAACAAATGTTTCTTTCCCTTCATTCTCTCACAGATCCCTCGTAAAAATCCTGTGCACTGGACTTTGTATCAGTGGCCAACAGCTGATCCTAAAATAACCTATTATGACTAAGGAGAGGAAGTAATCATTCCTGCATCCTTCCCACAGTGCTGAGAGACATTTGCTGTCATTGCCCACAAAGCAACTCAGATTTGAAAGGTTTCTGTGGCAAAAAGGGGTGAAAATATAATTTGTCTATTCTGTGCCAAAGCCTGGACAGCAAGCACATGTCATGGCATGCATATGTGTGGGAAGGGAGGAAGCCATCACATAGCAGGGAATCAGATAAAAAGGAAAATAATTTCCTGTGGTCTGAAATTCAATGACCACCTTAGTGCCTGTGTTGCTACAACTTCAGGGTGCAACCCCACTGTTAATGGAATTGCTTGGGAATTAATTGTCAGATATGACTAACGTTCCTCGTGTGTCACAGACTGACGTAGATGTATTTCAGTTCTCTGTGCAGCACAGAGGGACTCGGAAATAGATCAACTGTGAGCTTGTATTAAGTAGAGCAGGTGGGGGGGAGATGCTCAGCTAGGAAATATATTTTTTGGAAACACAGTGGGTGTTTTTCACCTTTGCTAATTGATGAGAGTTGGAGTGTGAGTCCCTGCCCTTCCCTGCTCATTGTTATTTCAAGGAGTGGCTTAACAAAATAAGTGCAAGAGGCTGGAGGAGAATGTTGTCTTGCCCACTCAGCTCCCCCTTACTTCTATGGTTACTGTGTAACCCATAATTGTGAAGCTGGACCCCATAGAAAACGCAGTTCCCAAGGAGAGTGTCTGCTATCCATTTGGCTCAGAGGAAGGAACTTTCATTAATTTCCTCTGGTGAAGGTTTCTAAGGGAATGCACCACTTAGGCACTTCCTCAGACTGACACTGACACGGTGTGGTTGGCTCTGCTCACCCGCAGGTTCCCATGTTGCTCCACCCCACTGGTCATTTCAGCCTCCTTTTGGCACAGTGCCCCCAGGATCTGTGCTACAGCACCAGTGCTGGCACAATTCTGCATACACTTTTTGTGAGTTTGAACCATGGGTTTCAATTGTTTTCTAATGCATTACCAAGAGGTCATATCACCTTTGATGGGATATTCTTGGCAGAATTTTAAATGTTTATTAAATCTGCTTAAAATTAACAACTTCATCCTGATTATTTTTGTTCATTTCTTTCTCCCCCTGTAGTGCCCATGTGTTGCTTAATACGCTATTTGCAGAAACACACAGGTTAATGATACATGGAAAATCATACTGGTTTTGCTTCTGCTTGCACTTCCTTTCAGGTTTGCAGTTTTAAACAGTAAAAGCTGAAAAACAAACTGAACCAAAATAGATTACTGTGCTGGGAGTCTTTTCCTATCAAGGTGTGCACCAACAGTCAACTCAGCTACAAATCTGAGTAACTTTTCTAAAGTTACATTGTCTGTTCCAAAATCCTGCTAGCCATCCCTAGGGCTCCCTGGTGAACTTGCCAAAAACATGATGTGGGATGGCACAGAGGGAAGAATCCTCGTTGCAGAATGAGAAATTTGTATCAGTTGTCTGGGCTGGGCTGGCCTGGCCTAGCTCTCTATAGTCCCAAATTCAGTCCCTAGTACAGCTGTGAAGTCTTGGATAAGCTACTTCCCCTCTTTATTTCCCCTGCTCCCATCTATCTCTCTAGAGCTTTAGGATGGGGATTGCTTTTCACGGTGTTTAAAGTGGTTATTGGAGTACAGGTGCTCAGGTAATATGAATGTAAATGACGATGATGTTGCCTTATGGGATGAAGGCCTCTGACAAGGAAAATGAACATAAAGCCCATTCCTGTTCTCTCTGCCTTGTGTTCCTAGCTTAACAGAGACTTTTAAAATGGAGCTCCAGGTCAGACTGCAAGCTGGTTGCAAGCAAGGGGCACTCCTCACTCATTTCAGGAAGCGTTGGAATAGACCTTTGATTTGGTGCACAAGCTTTATGTTAGCTGTGCTATTTCCTCGTGTGCTTGCATGTAATAGGACTGCTATTTCCCTCCCCTTTTTTTCTTTCCTTTTCAGGGGAGGAATGATCCAGACTTGTGAACAGTATCAATTTGTCCATCATGTCATGAGCTTGTATGGAAAACAGCTTTCTAGAACAGCAGAAGAATAAGTATCCATTATATTCCTAAAGGCTAAAGCCAAGAGAACTTTTGACTGCATTCAGATATATTTCAGATCTGATACAAGACACATGGTAACCTGGCTGTCTTAGCTGGAAAGATATATTATTTTACTTTGATATTGCTTTTATGCTCTTGTTTGCATTGACATTTAAGAGCTGAGGTACACCTTGTCTTAAACTATGTGACAGGACATAATCTTCACCAAAAAAGGCTTATTTATACTGTAAATAACAATAGTAGCTTCATTTGTTACAAAAGCAAGAAAAAAAATCAGAAAAAAATCCACTGTCTTCAGTTTGCTACTTTTTAAAAGATCATTGCTAATATATCCAAATACAGTGTGAAACTTTTCAAATTGTCATGCTGAAATGTGCCGTATGTTGACTAAGCTTGAAAGTAACTTTTTGCCTCTTTCTGATTGTTTTTACATATAAAATTACCGAATACTGTGTATATCGTAAACTTTCTGAGCCTCTGCATTGAAAGATTCAAGTAGATTCACATTGAAATGATGTTTCGCACATCATGTTTGCTTGTTTATTTTTTCTAAAGCAGTCCACCACCAGTGTTATCAGTACTAAAGGGGAAAAAATATTTCAGTTATGCGAGTCAAATTCTTACCTTGAATTCTTACCAGCACTGTACCCCAGTACCATGACAGTTGGCTGAATATGAGACAAATAGTAGAAATAAATCTGAACATAAATTCTTCACGCTTTACCTTTTCTTTGTCAATATTTTGGCATTTCAGTCATCTGGCAAACAGATTTGATTTTTACAAATAGTTTCTATTTTTACACTGTCAGACCACAATCCGAATACAATTTCCCCTGAAATCTGAGATTCAGAATCAGGTGAGGAGTTTTGTGAGTTCGTATTTATTAAAAATCTAATAATAAAATCACTTGTAATCTATGAATTTAAACTTCTTTCAAAGCTTTGAAGGTGACTAGGTGCCCAGTGCTTATTAAAATTAATGCAAATTCTATAGGCACCTTTAAAAAAAAAATCAGTCTGAACTTGTTGGCTGCTTTTTTGATAAATTTGCCCTCAAACCAAATTCAGACAATCATTAGCCCATTCTAACCACTAGTCCAGCAGTGTTTCCTTTTCAGTAATACAGCCTGCTGCCCAGGTTTTTCATTCTAGAACTCAATCAGGCTGTGAAGACTGTATTTTGTGTTTAATGCTTACAGGTAAGCACGTGTTTAAGTGCTTCATTAAGAGCAGAGAAAAATGGAGGTATGCAGGATCCTTGACATGAAAGATGAGTGTTTTATGAATAGAAGCTGTAATGACCTACTAAAAATATTTTTGTTTCTCTTTATTGTAACAATAACCAAAACCCACTGCTCATATTAGTGCAGGAGATTCTGCGAATTTACTGCACTTCCTAATCAGGAGAAGGTAAAGCAGCTTTCAGAACAATAAGGGCTGATCCTGCTCCCACTGATGTTTTGCCATTGACGTCAGCAGGTGCAGGGTAGGGCCCGAAATGTTATGCCTACAACTTCTTCACTGTGGGGAAAGTTTCCCATTGTTTCAGTACACATCTTTGTGTTTATTCTGTATCCATGAACCTGTAAAAATCCTGTCTGCAGGGTTTGCATGAACGTGTGGCAAAATGTGTTATCTTTAAACCTCTTGATTTTATTGCTGTATTTAAAATATTTCCTTCAGTGAGAAGCTAGCAGGAAGAACTGGCATTCTTTTTTAAAATACTGGTGGTAGTCATTAAATAGAGCAATAAACTTAAGCTTTTGAGCATAACATGACTGTTAGTTTTATGTAAATCTTGATAGCTATATTCTCCCCACTGCTACTGATTTCTTCAAAGGGGTAACACTATTCCATCTAAGCGCTCCTTAGAAACAACAAAATCACCACTGATGTTCTAAATAACGTTGTAAGTGGAACTCCTTATAAATGTTTTCAACTGTTCAGTGCCCTTCAGTGTCAAAACTGGCTCAATGAATAAAATTACTTGTTCTGTCATCAGCTTCCCATGCATCTGCTAAAGAATATTTGTGGATGATTTATAGGAGTGTGCATATAGGAGCTAAGTTCAATGTGTAAGTTGCCTCCTGCACAAGGAGACTTTCTAGAGGAGAATAGCTTTATGGCAAATGAGGTATGAAGAGCTCTAAGACACTGACCTTGAGATCCTTGCACAGATCCTCAGCAGGTGTTAGTTGGCAGTGCTTCACTGACTTAAGTAGAAGCGAACAATTTATACTGATGAAGGAAATCCAGCCTGATGTCCACTCCCATTCTACATGTGTGGAATGCCCCGAGAGAGTGTTAATTGATAAAATTGGGCTGTTTTGCATCAATTCACTGCTACAAAGCACATGTCAGCCTAGTTGCACAGTCTGGTTAGGAGGGTTGCACTGCTGCCATCTTGTACCAGGCAAGAGCATACCACTTGTCAGGATCAAAATATTCAAATGCCTCTTGAAACGTTATTTTGTCTGATAGATTTGGAGCTAATCCTCCTATTTGCTCTTCGGCCTTATTATAATTAACATATTTCCATCTCTTTTTTTCTTTACTGTTTTTTAAATAGAATTTGAGGTCTGAAGGACCTTTTATCAGCTGTTCTGATATCTTCTGACAGCAGAGGTAGTCTTAAGAAGCGCTTAAGATTAGCAGAAAGGAGCTCTGGCCGTGCACAAGCACTTGAGATGAGTGGGGCTGCTGCTTCTGTAATCAGTATGTTTGAAACCGAGCTGACAATAGGAACTGAGCTAAGCTATGTCTCCTGCTAGACTTGTCTTTTTACTGGACATTCTTTCTCTGTTAAATGAAAATTCCAAGCATACATCATCCATCCTCTCCAGCTCACTGTCCAGGCCTCTGTGAACTGAAGACTACAGCACTAATACCTACAACACAGTTGTTTCCCAGAGAACTGAATTCCTCTCTGCAGGTAGGTAAGCATATAACAAACATGAGATGGTTTTATTTAGAACCAACTGTGATGTCTTCTGTTTCATAAGCTTTTTCACACTTTGTGAACTGGGCAGACCCCAGCTCAATGCCCTGCTTTTTTGCTGTTCATTTGGTCATTGGTCATCACACTTAAGCAGTTTTATTGTCTTGTTTATACTTCTGTCATGGTAACAGACTAATGGCACATTCCATGCTTTTGTAGGTAGTCTGAGATCAGCAGATAGCAAAGTTATGTAAAAACAAAAACTTAGATGCACTTGAGCATAAGACCTGTCCCCAGATGAAGTACATTTCACTCTCTGAAGGATCAAGATAAAGATGACTTGGTCAAATTATTCTGAAATGTGAACTACCCAGCAGTCATATAGAGTAGAGAGCTGCATTCCTTGCAAGAGTTTCAAAAGTATCTGTTTATTCTGGACTTTTCCTCTGTAATTAATCTACTTTGAAAAATCTTAACCTGTGAATTTGCAGTTGCAAAATGAGCTTGAGAATGAAGACATCACCAAACAGGACCTTGCTTCCTGTCACTTCCCTGCTGTCTCTTCAGTGGAGAAATCGTGCAGCTTGCACATCGGTGGCCTTAGAAAGTGTATGTCTGTTGGTTGTGAGTTGGCAGGTTTTAGAAGTGGACCTGAACTATTATGTTTTCATGTGCTCTTTCTCTGAAAGCCAGTTTAAACAAAGGGGTATGATAAATCTACAGTTTGTTAATCATAACCATGTCACTCTATTTTTGACATGAAGTATGCTTTATAGATTTGCTATGGAGAAAAAGCAAAGCACTTTTTCTGAGATATGTGGGGAATAACTTTGTTTCTTCTGCCAAGTCTGTAGATGTACATTTGCTGTGTCTGCAAGAGTGATTATCAACTTAGGATAATGTACGGCAGCTCAGGAGTCCTGCAAGGAAAAAAAATGCTCCATTCAAAAGCACAGAAGAAATATGTGAATGAAAGCAGCATTTGCAGCTTTGTGCATAAGGTACAGGCAGTTGCATGCTCCAGGCAACACAAATGTTATTTTCAAATGTCTCAAAGTGAATTTCACATATTCAAAGAGATTAATTCCTTTGGTTACATGCAAGGAAAGAGAAAAGTCCACTCTCCTTTGAGCACTGACACAGATCAGGCTCCAGCACCTGAACACAGCAGATGCTACATTCTCTTGGCCTGGTGTGAAAGTCACAGAAGGGGTTACAATCAGATCTGCCCAAGCTTGTGTGCCATATAGTCCCCAGCAGGGCAGCAGTGTCAGGTTTACTCAGTTGATAGCAAAGCTGAATGAAGAGAAAGACTGAATTATTTACTCAGAATTAAAAGCCGTGTTGGCACCAGGGCTGGCAATATGGCTTAGAGCATTTGAGAAGATAAAGCTTAAACAGTCTGGCAAAGGACTCAGGCATTGCAGTTCCTGACCATTTCTCTCTGCTGGACCATGCTACTCAACTTCAGTGTTCCCTATTGCTGCTTTATCTCTTATCTGCCTGTTGCTGCTTAAGCTTAAAATAGAATTAAATGTGCTACTGTATTGCACTAGTTTTAATCCAATATGTTGATAGCCTGTGTTTTCCAGAAATCATCTCTTCCCTTGGAGAGAGCCTGTCTTGCTAGACTGTCTTCAGAGGGCTCAGCTTGTTCTGCCTACTTTGTCATCCCAGAATTCTGGGGACAGAAGTCTGCAGTTATTAGCACCTTACTAAAGGAGTTTCTTCTTTGAGAAACAGTAGCATCTGACTGAGTCAAAGTTTTCTTATTATGTCTGACCTTAACTGTCCTAGTCCCAATAGCAGCTGCAAGGTGTCTGCTTTCCTTTGGAAAGGCAAAGGCAATACTTCTCTCCAGGGACCAGAGGGGAAAAATCCTGCATAGATCCTTTTGCTCTTTCTCCTTTGCATGTTTAGCTTGTTTGCCTCTGAAATGGACGCAAGGAAGACTGTCAGGAATAAAGTCAAAACTAATAAAACAAAACAGAAACCTCCTCTTGTAAATTAGTTTTGACTCCTTCTATCTCAAAAGAAGGAAAAGCAGATACAATTAATTTCACTACATCCACTCTTGCCTTCTTGGTCTTTAGGCTGTTGTGAGGAATACAGAAAGCAAACACTCAAGCAGTGCAAAGGTAATGAAGAGATCATTCAGAGTCACTCCTCCCCTTTTGGAGGCCTGTGTGTGGCAGTGTGGCCAAAACTGAAAGATCTTCTCATTCATGTGCATTGGTTTTTCCCCACAGTGGTGTGTGTGCATAAGCAGACACCTGCTCAACGTACCACGGTAGCTGGTGTAAGAACAGATGCATGAAGGAGGATTCACGAGCACTGTGAAGTGAACATAGAAGGGCAGTGCCTGGTTTTTGAGTCAGTTTGAATAGGTAGGAGGAACTGAATTGGGTTGGCAGTGTTTTGTTTTTGTTGGAGAAAATACAACTTTCAGCCCAGATACTAGGTTTCTCTGTATCTAAGTCAGGCTCTTTTGGCTGAATAGAATACTGAAGAGGTAAATGCAGATTGGTTTCTTGATACGTTTATTAGACAAGCAATTAATAATACTTTATCCACTTTACAACATGACCAATCCCATTTCCACGCACTTCTGATTTGGTCTGTGTTAAAAAGAACACAAGCTTCTAGGCAAGGGAGCAGCGTGTCTGTCTTGCTGGATTCCTTCTTTAGCCTGTGAACTACAGCATGTGTTTATTTTGGCTGTCTGTATGTAGTATTTTTTGCTCACTGGAAAAGTTGACAATGTTTCAAACTCTGGATGTTTTTCCTTGTTTTTTGTGAAACTTTTCAGCTTCCTCTTTCTTTTGTAGACTAGTATAAATCTCCTTAAAATCATCCGAAAAAGGTGGTATATTCCTGGAGGGGGTGGAAGGGTGGGGTGACCATTGCTTTTTCCAGAATTCCCTGTAATCATTCCCATCAGCCTATGGAAGTTGGCTAGATTTTTATGTTCTTTGGTTTTATAAGTTCCTGTGTTTTGCAAAGCATAACCCAAGTACCTGCTGCACTAGACTCCCTTTTCAAATGAATTTAACATAAATATGGAATAGATAACAGCATTCTGTTCCAAAAAGAAATCAAATGTGGGCAGTTAAGCAGTTAATTGCCACTATATTTTTGAGCCTTTGTGGCAAACAAGATATGTGGTTTGTGTCCTTCAGAATGGATAGGCCTGTGTACATGAAAAACAATCTCCTGTACCTGCACTATGTCAGCACTGCTGTGATTAACACTAGTAAAGTGAAAGAGATCTAAATACATGGGCTGAGATCTGTAATTCATTCCCTCCTGGAGAAAGTACCTTACTCATTGGGAATGAAGTCCTTCTCCATAGGAAGGGTGACAGAATCTCAGACTTATTAAGGAATGGAAGAGAACCAATTAAAAAATGACCTCTGTAATCTAAAGTTATGAACTGATTTTCTAAAACACCTAATCTCTGCTTCAGTAACTGAATGAACTGGCTGGACTTGGAAATGATAAAAATTGCTGCATGTACAGCTATAAAATAAAAAAAACTAAAGCCTGGAGGTATGAAAGGAGCATTGGGGAATGACTTGAACACCACAGCAGGATTTCTTGGATGTTTAACTGTTTGAAACCTGGACCCACATGTTTTGATTTTAACATGAAAAACAAGACTGGTAAATTGTTCAGTAGTCTGCTTTTGAACAAAGTTTAGAAATTGTGTCAAAATTAATCACAAGAAAATCTAGGAGGTAATGTTCATTTTTAAATAAAAAGGTATCCTTTTGACCTACAGAAGGTTTATTCCTATTAGCCTCATGCTTGAAGTTTTATTGTCTTGTTATTCTAAAAATGGCAGACTGCTGAGGCCATTGTAAAGGATGTAACAACATAGCCCACAAGAGGCCAGTATGTATTTAAATTTTGCACTACACAAAGCCATATTTGTCCAGTGTAAAGGGATCCAGGAATCTTCCTAGGAATGTGACAATCTACAGGACTTCATGTGAGCTGAGGGACACAAGAAGGGTCTTGAAAGCTCCTTCCCCTGAGGATGAATGATCAGAAACTTA